GACTGTGGTCCCCTTTACACTGTTTCTTTTCAGAGACATCAAACCTGACAACATCCTCCTGACAGTTGATGGACATATTAGATTGGGGGACTTTGGTTCCTGTCTGAAGCTACTGGAGGATGGGGTGGTAAGAGTAATAAATAATAATAATTCTAAAAAAACAAACAATTGTCACTTTCACAATAAGAAACAACTGTTGGAAATGCAGGTAACCATTTTTAAAATTTTAACTTTACTTTTGCTTTAAATAATCTATCAACCTATTGATTTCATTGCAGGTTCACTCATCCTTAGCTGTTGGGACCCCTGACTATTTGTCTCCAGAGATTTTAGGAGCAGTAGAGGGAGGTGGAAGTTATGGTCCTGAATGTGACTGGTGGGCTCTAGGTATCTGTGCCTATGAGATGCTGTTTGGGACCACACCTTTCTATTCAGAGTCTATCTCTGAAACATATGCCAAGATTATTCACTTTCAGGTACATAAACACTCTCATAATTTCTGCAAGCAACTGATAAGAAAAACTATACTTTTGAAAATAATATCATTTCAGAATAGATATAAATATAGATTTGATTTCCAAGCACAGATAGAAAACATTTATGGCATTTAAAACACAGTACATGATTGCAAATTAAATCAAACAGGCCCAAGTCAATAACAGTATGAAGAGCAGTAAAAGTGGGCCATAGATGTGAGTGTGATGTGTATAGTTGTCTGTCACGGTTTGTTACATTTTGGGTCTGTGATGGACTGGCAACCAGTCTAGAGTGTACCCTGTCTTTCACCCTATGTCAGCTGGTATAGGCTCCAGCCCCAGGCAACCCTCTACAACATATAGGAAATGGATGGATGGATAGATGAAATAACCTTGGCAAGAGAGAGTCATTCTGCCTCAGCAAGGTTAATCACAGGCAGAAACTTCACGGCAGACAGGTATTTCCTGATCGTAATGGAGTCAGTCTGGCAACACATAAAGAAAGAGAGAATACTCAAGCAGCTTAAGTCTCTACATACTTTGCAGAATAAGATTTAGGCTATTTATCCTATTCTTTCTAACAGATCCGCTTAAGATCAGGCCAATCATTTTCAGCTCTCCAACAATCTTAGACCTGTAAAATGATAAATGGTCAACACATATATAGTGCTCTTTAAGCTTAGTTAGGTTGTACAAAGCATTTTACAGTCACATACACATTCACACACCAGTGACAGCATAGTTGCCATTAGGAGCAAATTGGGTTCATTGTCTTGCCCAAGGACACTTTGGCATGTGGAAGGGTGAAGAACTTAATTGCCAACCTTGTGATTAGTGGACAACCTGCTTTACCACTTGAGGCACAGCTGCCCCAATACCCATCCAAAATCCACTTTAGCACTAATTTGGCCAACTGTTGTGTTGACGGGTCTCACTATGTATTTGGATTAATTGACTCTGTCATCAGCCTTCTTCACAGTAGAATGCTTGGTGCTCAACAGACAGAGTACTAGAGACCTTAAATGCTGCTTTTTTTTTTTTTTTAGCTGTCCTATGTGTTGCTTCTAATTAGATGCTCTGCAAGAAAAACCTGACTGACAAAGTGCTGCTAAGGTGTTTATTCCACCAGTTCTTTGCCACCTTCCAGACATGGGCCCCTCCTTCTTGGTAACTCGGTTTGAATGTACATACAAGAGTTCTGGTGGTTCTGAACTTTCTAAAGACAATCAATAAGGCTGCTGTGCTCCTGAGAGCTCTCAAAGCTTTAAAATGGTTTTATAACAGTGGTCTGCAGTGAGCTTTTTGGAAGTCATGATTTGTTTTTTGTTTGCCATGTTGAAATATACATAGATGTATACGCAGATGTCTTCCTTTCTACAACATATCCATTTTTTTAGTTTTCAAACAAAAAAATATGCCTCAAAAAATTATATTAACCATGGAATACCACAAGGCTTGATCCTAGGCCCATTCCTTTTGGCCTTTATATGCTGCTTCTTCACAGCATCATAAGGAGAAATGGCATCATATTTCAAAGGTAAACTGATGATGGTCACCTTTTCATTGCTGTGCCCCTTGATGACACAAGCCCTATGTATATGTAGATGTGTGCCTTTCTACAGTATATGCAGTTTTTTTAGTTTTCCACAGTGGGACTCAAATCATATTCCAACACATCTTAATAATTACAGAGGTGTATGTTGTAGCAGAAATATTACCAGTGGTATCGAGGGTAGTGGTGGGAACACCAGGGTTTTTTCCTTGTATTATCTTTTTTGCTATCCTTAGGAGTATTTTCAGTTTCCTCCTTCTGGCCCTGAGGTTTCAGAGAAGGCTCATTCCTTCATCACTGGACTCATCTGTGAGAGGGAAGTTCGTCTAGGCAGGAAAGGATCCAGTGACTTCAGGAGTCATTGTTTTTTCTGTGGAATAGACTGGGGTTCCCTGCATAAACTCGATGCCCCTTTCCTGCCTGATGTCTCTAATCCAACTGACACCTCCAACTTTGACATCCTGGACGACACCCTGAATGACATGGTATTGTCTTTACAGACTTGTTTTATCTCAAAGTTTGCTTTTCTGTGGGGAATGAAAGAAATGTCCGATTATTTTGTGTAACGGTGTGCACTCTGCTGGTAAAGATCTCACACAAAACAGGTTTTAATACAAATAATGCATTTTAGTTGTCTTTAATTAGATAAGTTCATGAAGACAGCAGCATTGAAAAACAATCTGCCTTACAAACTTCATGCCATCAAGCTGGCTCATGGAATGTCTGTGACAAAATGACCTGACCAAAATAAGACCAGCTGGTGGTTGTTGGTGTGAAAACTGGCATCTGTTGTGTTCTGCAGGGGACGCCAAGTGACATAATGGATGGAGCTCCAATAGGAATTCACTTGGCTTTTGTTGGATATTCTTACGCTGCTACCAGGTGAACTTAAATTTAAGATGAATGTTTTATGTCCATTAACAACTTTAACTATCCTTTACATGCAGGCTTTCTCCATATTGTTTAATTGGTCTCTTTTTATAGTCAGACGGGTGCCATTGACCGCAGTCACAACATAATGATGCAAACTGACCCTACAAAGCTTGGGGAGTGTGAGAATCTGAATGCATCAGAGAAACTAGTAAGACATCATCACCATAAAGACTGTATATGCATCAGATTTTGCATCCATTTGTCAGATTGTATGACTTGCTTCATAACCTTGTATGCAAAATTTTTACGCAGTTATGAATTGTCATGTACAGACTAAAATATTGATCAGCAGGTTTCTGATTTACCTGTGCTTTAAATTTAGGACCAGCTGTGGCAGCTTACAGACACTGAATCAGACAATCTGCCGGCACCGTTGGACCTCCCGTTTACTCAAGAGCAAAGTCTTACTGCATCCACCCACACCACTACAAAAGAAGAAGAGACTGACCAAATATCAGGACTTTCTGAAGACTTGCAGAGGTATCAGCTGACATAGTGCCATCTTTATCCAATCCACAGACTGGTGTCACTGCTAATCACTACTACTTTAAAAATAAATACATTAAGTGTGTGGGCTTCCAAATATCAGGTACAGGTGTCCCATACAGGAAGAACACAGTTCTCTAGAAAACTCAAAAACAGATTTTGGGTCAATATGTACATGTTTATGTAAAAGTATGGGTCCCCCATACACATTCTGCTCATTTCTAAGGTAAAAAGTAAGAAGTCAAAGGAGGTTACTGTTTGGTCCTTTCATTGAGATAATAGAAAAAAAAAAAACTCAAATGTGTAACCATTTGAGCACTGCAACAATCGTAGAACTTCAATGTCCAATTTGGTTTAATTTGACTTGTTGGATTGTAAGACAGATCAAGCATCATAATTATAACTTGTCAACTGAGACAGTTCCCGAGCTGTTCCACCTTGTGTTAACACTCAGCAACCACTGGTGCATCTAGCAGCTGACTGAGGATCTGAAGTTAAGCGATTTGACACCAATGAATCAGTAGAACACTGTAAAAAGATCTTAAACTACATCAACCTTCAAATTCCACTCCTTAAATTGTCAAATGTCGAACTTTTAAGAAAAGTTTTAAAAATTGACTGATTTGAGAGGCTAGTTAAGTAAATCAGGAAAGGTAAGCATTGATAAACATGCAGGGTAAGGTTCGAGGCTCTTGGCCAATAATGGAAATAATTGTGCATGTGTCGGCACTCTGTTTCTCTACTAGAAACTGATGCATAAAATTACTCTTATCAAATTTTAAGGAGTTTTTTTTTTATCCTGTTGCTAACTTTCAAAGACAAGCATTCAATAAATTTGCATTACACCATCCCAGTGCCTTGAGCTCAACTGAAGAAATAAAACAGTAAGAGGGTGTGATGAAACTTACAGTGTTTATTTCTTTGTTCACCAGACAGTTACATGAAGCACAGAGGCGATACTGTGAGCTGGAGAAAGAAATGGAGAGATTGAAGGCGGAGATGCAGGAGTGCCACTCCTCCAAGGACACAGGCAAGGGACCAGCACCCCTTGCTTCTATCTTACATCATCACCATCATCATCATCATCATCATCGTCTGTCTACATGCCCTGAAGTATTCCCATCTGTTTCACTTGATAGAGAATGCACTATATAACAACACAATAGGAAACCACAGAATTTTGACAAAATGAAGACCCCAGTCACAGAATGATAATGCTTCTACTCCTACAAATCTCTGTGAAACTAGTCATAAAAAACAATTCAATACACATCAGAATGTTCAAAGTCAAGGCCATATCAAGGTAGAAATGTGACCCAGTTTTAATTCTGTCAGCTAAGAAGCCTTTTAAATCCAGCTGAAAACCTTTTAATGCAGTTTTCATTATACCAGATAATGAGCCAATGTGAGCCACTCTGAATGAAACCAGTGACGCACCGTATCCACAGTTTATATTGGAGGCCTCAGTCAGAACACAGTGATAAATACCCATTCTAAGAATAGCCTTGGTATGTAGGAACTCGCATGCTTGCTCTCATGAATCAATACAGTGTCACAAGCTTTTTAAAGATGCAGTGATGCCACTGAACTGATGAATTCGTTATAAATAATGGCTCCAACTCCTGTTGTTGCAAAACCCTGTGAACTACAAAGATGTATTTTGTGTAATCATAAAAATGCAACTATCTGTGGACACCTTAAGCCTCGGTCACAACCGGCTGTATGGGCTCCTACGGCCTGTCTGCGTCCAAATTTTGTGCAGAATCAAAAGTCCATCTTGCGAAATTTCGAGGTCACAGACCTGTAAGCACGTGCGGAGGATTTTGGACATGTCCAACTAATTCTATGAATTCTCTGCGAACAGCTATACCGCAAGTGTAATTGGGTTCCCCCGCCCGCAAGGAGTTTGCAAATGAGACGTGCAATTTTTAAGGTATCATGAAATCAGAAGTAAATCCGTGGTGTAAGACGCTCATTGCGTGCAATTGCAATAAGGGAGCGAGTGCCCCTTGTGTGTTAAGTTCGGCGCATGCATTCACAACTCGTCACCCCCACGGGCAACGATCAGAACAAAGGGACTAGGAAATTTTTTGGCCTGTTGTCATGTATGTATGAGAACGTACGATCCCTAAAGTTGCGCGTCCGGTTGTGATCAAGGCTTTAGTTACTGCTTTCACCTTCAGACCTTCTCTCCGTTCTTTCAGACTCACACCATCATCCATTCATTGCCACAAACATGTACTTTTTCTGGTTCTGTCTTGTTTCTTTATGTTATTACACCCTGGCTGGCCAGCAGTGCAACCTTAAGCTGAATCCCTTAAACAGTGCATGCAGTCATGGACTCTGACGTTCCTTTCTTTCCTTCAGTCACAGAGCTGAATATCTGCCCAGCATCTCTTGCTCTGCCTGCCCACTGTGTGGATGCAACAGGGGATGTAAGCTTATCTTTAATCCACTTTCGTACTCTCTTTCTCTGCCTGAAATGCAAAACAAAACACTTATAGCAGCCTATAACCTCTCATTCTCTATTTAATTTGCATAACCTTTGCAGTTGTAAATTACTGAGATCAGACTTGCCTCTGCAATAGACAAACAGTTGTTATGAATGCCTTAAAAAAGCACGACATTACCGCGCTGTTTCTCAATAGGCTGATGTATCCATGTCTCTAAAAAGCATCTGTCTGTTCACTGCTCTGACTGTTTTACAGAGGAAAAGAACACCCCCAGACTGCCATTACCCGCTTGTGATTCCTCTCCACCGTCACCTGCTGTTGTTCAACAGGGTACGGACAAATTACTCACTCAGCAATCCCAGGAGATCAGCAGTTTAAGATTCAGATTATTTGTAAAATAACCTGTCATAGAACATATTTCAATAACTTTAATTTAGCGTAATCCACATAAATCAGATTTTCCAAAGAAATCTCATTTTCTAATCCTGTTTTCTTGGCCTCTAGGTTCGCCTGCCACAGGTGAGGAGTGAATCATACTTGCTGGTGTGTGCAGAAGGGGGGGAGCTTCAAGCCTGGGACAGACACTGTTGTATTGAGCTCTCCTGAATGAACCTGAAGATGAGTTGTGATGTCTGCTGCACCACAAGAACAAGTCAAATGACCAAGCCCCTGCTTTACACCCAATACCTGCCCAGCTCCTCAGCATCCTAAACTTCCCAGTAAATAGGGAAAACAAACTGAAACATTTCTAATGTGAGTTGTTGTGGATGTCTTTACTACAGAAGAAATTCAGATGAGCATTTCCAACTGATGCAAGGAGAAAGGCAGGTCAAACTAGCTAATGGGGAAGAAATAATAACGACGTCTTCTGATACCTTGCCTGTTTACGGGCCTAAATGTCACAATAGAGATGCACTGAGTTCATAACACATCAAATTCTCTTACTGTGTGACAATGACGGTTTGTAATTTTTGAGTGACATGGCAAGAGGCCAGAGAAATCACTACCACCTTAAAGCATTTTGATCATATTGGTGCATTTAGTTGTTCCAGTGAGGATGCATTCTCTTCTGTGTTTTCATAGGTGGTTTATACTTGTGTTGCACAACTATACTAGAGTACTTCAAAAAGTTCTCGACTTCATCAGAAAACTCACAGAAGAAAGACTGTTCTGGCAAAAAAATGTGTCCTTTTACTTTAATGCACTTGGTCCACCGATGTTCCATCCATCCGTCCATCATCTATACACCGCTTCATCCTCACTAGGGTCATCATGGGGGGCTGGAGTCTATCCCAGCTGACTCAGGGTGAAGGCAGGGGACACCCTGGACAGGTCACCAGTCTATCACAGGGCCACACTTAGAGACAGACAACCAAGCACACTCACATTCACACCTACGGACAATTTAGAATCACCAATTAACCTCAAAATGTTTCTGGGCTGTGGGAGGAAGCCGGAGAGAACCCACACTGCACGGGGAGAACATGCAAACTCCACACAGAAAGATTCCGGGTGTCCTCACTGGGACGCGAACCGGCGAAATTCTTGCTGTGACTCAACGGTGCTAACCACTGAGCCACCATGCAGCCCCCAGCGATGTTCATGCTTCCCTATTCCTTCTAGAAGATGGTCACATCTTGAGCCTCCAGATACTCCCGAACAGCATAAATGACGTCACCATTACTCTGATAATGGTGAACATGCATGTGGGATTTCAGTTTGGGAAACAGAAGTGAGATGGTGTCAGTGCAGATGGCGGATGAGTAAGGTGCATGGGGTAACAGTTCAAAGGCACATTTGGCTGCTTCTGTCACCTGTGCTGTGTGGAAGGACACGTTGTCCTAAAACAACAGCGTGCCAGCTCAAAGCTTTCCTCCCTTTTTTATTTATTTTTTCACACGTGAGTTTTTGTGGACAGCGAATTAAAGCGTTATAGCTTTATAGTAGTAAAATGGGAGTTATACCGCTCATTTCCAGGTGGGGCCGAGAATTTTTTGAAGTAGGCATGCTTTTATTGTGCCTGTTTAAGTGCTCAAAACTGCTAATAATGAGAGCAATAGTGATCACATTATCTGGCTTTATGTGTTGCCACCACCGACTCTTACAGTGTGAATGGTCTAGTTCAGTTTGTCCTGTAGAGGGACAGTTGTCTTCCAGCCTTCGAGTGGATCCTGGGTTGGGCTTTTCAAAACAGCAACAACAGTAGCAAGAAGCCGCGACATAGCGTTCAGTTTAGTGGTGTATTTGAGGCCCAAAACTATGTTCTGGAAATATTTTTTGTTGAATTTTTACATTGCTGATATTTTACATATTTGCTAAAATATTTTTCAACAGTATTTGGACAAACTAAGTGCAATAAAAAAACATAGATCCATAAGACTTGGCATCCCAAAACTGGATTACAGACCCCACTGCACTACCTCCCATCACATCACCTCACATTGCAAATGATCTTGTTTTAGGATGGCATGCAAAGATCTGACATGTACAATGAAGAGGAATTATCTGTAATATAACTATAGAAATAACTATTTCAAGGGGACAAATTAGTGTCACTGATCGTGTATAAAGGTCAGATTTCCTTCAGTTGTGTCTTTCCATTGATGCAGCATTCAGAAGACACTCTGCTGAATTTGATCAGCTGATCAGAGAATTTTGCAAGTAAATCAACCTGCAATAATTGCTCATTTGCAAGTATGGTTGTACCTCAAGTTCCCAGCAGAACATTGCTGGCTAAGTAGCATTGTGAAAGTGGGAAACATGACATCAGAACTATGCATCAGAACCAAGTGTCAGAAATCAGATTGTTATTCTGAGCTAAGAGGGCCTTTCTCAGCATGAAGATAATGACTACCCTGAAAGTCTATTAAACAATTTGTGGAAACTAGATCAGCAGTATGAGAAGCAGGATTGTGCAGATCAAAACTAATCACATTTGAAGATTATTTCATCAAGCTTCGTTCACTGAGAGAGTGAAAAGCAACTTAATCACAGCTACAGAATTTACTAAATAAAGAACCCAATCAGCAAACGTCCTTTCAAAAGAAGGCTATAATGGTCTCCAAAAACTCAGGGAAAACAAGGACAAAGACTTGGGATTGGCTAAGACCCACTGGCATTTTGAGCCCAATCTTACTCAGCTTCTTACATGTGGCTGTTTTTTCAGGACCCTTTGGCCTCATGCTTGAACTCACTGGGCATCCTTCAGCAGATTTTTTCAACATGAAAGATAACCCTCAGTTCCCTTAATATCAGAAATAGATGCCATGAGAACACAACCATATTTTTTTTTTTAGCTGTTGTTATTACTGTTTGCCTTGTACCATGTGCTTAATGTTGTGAAAGGTTATATTTGAACTCAAACCATGATTTATTCCTGGTCTGTGTACTCTTAGTTCAAAGCTGTGTTTAACTTGTTAACAAATAAATAAGTATGCAAAGAATTACATGTATCTTCACGTTAATTTAAAAAACACAAAAATCCAATAATCTGTTTTCATCTTCAAACCAACAGTTGGAACAGAAGTTAAACAAAGAACAGTAAACGATAGATAGATAGATAGATAGATAGATAGATAGATAGATAGATAGATAGACAGATAGATAGATAGATAGATAGATAGATAGATAGATAGATAGATAGATAGATAGATAGATAGACAGATAGATAGATAGACAGACAGATAGATAGGGTTAGTAAGATTTTAACTAGACAATGTCATACATCTTCTTATATACTTATGCAAACTTCCCCCAAATTACTTCTTCCCCTGGAGAGCCAAAACCCATTCTTTTTTAAAACAAACAAACACACAAACAAACAAACAAACAAACAAAAACCAATCAGGTCACCACTACATTTGAATTTATTCATCTTTGGGGATGTGACAATAAAAAAGATTCGGGTTCTGATAGTTGAAATGACGATACATTTTCTGATCAGCAGGGGGCTTTGTGTGCACATTAAGCCTCCAGAAATTAACCTTTTTCTTTGAACCAACTGGTTGAAACCGACCAGCTTCAAGGCTTCATGAGGCTTTATCTGGCCATCACTACTGCATCACCTGCGGAGTGCTGCTGGGACACAAAAAGCGAAAGCAAGGCGACCCGGAAGTGGGCCAAAGAGCAAGAGGGGCCAAGATGGACACCACGCCCTTATAAGGAATGCCCTCAAGCGGTGATAGGCTGAATAGCACACTCACGTTAGTCGCAGGGATGAGACCTCATCCTGACACACTACCTTGCAAGTCTTAAATACTCAGGAAAATAGTTTGAGTTGTGGCCTGCTGTCTGCAAAATTTCTGACAATATTACAATCTTAATCCAAGATATAGGAACAGCCAGAAGAGCATAACGATGCCTGTATAATAATAATTAAACAAATTGTAAACTAAGATGTTGTCTGAAAAGAAGGACTAAAGTGGGTGTAATATGATCTTGTCATCTAAAAGCAGCTAAAGGTGTCATGGAGTGTTAAAGACCCAAGTACAGACAGGAACACAACAGACCAGGGTTAAAGTTTAAAGACTTTAGTTCACAAAAATACAAATACCACATAATAGTGCAGGGAACTGGGAGACTGGGATAGTGAAGGAAAAGGGAAAAGGGTGGTTGGGACACCAATGGGTTAACTAAGTGGAAGGGAAAACAGGCAAAGCTCTGGCAACCTCTGGAGGGGAAACTGAGATCTACACATAAGGCTGAAGAGCAAAACTGGAAATGACTACGGCAACTGAGATGGACAAACTGATCAAACTGACTTCAGGAAACTACAGCTCAATATTAACAGTACAAATAATTCTAGCACAGGACAGGGGCTACTGAGCAGAACCGAGTACTACAGGGCGAGGGACAGTACAAAGTAGTGATGGCCAAATGAAAGGGTTCATTACTCAAAGCTTTTTAACACAGTCCTCTTTGGAGGCATCTGGTGGCCAAAAGTATGAAAAGCAGCTTGAATTTACAACTTAAAATGAACTGCTTCATTATGATGTGTACCATACAGAGTCAAGCTGAACGCTTATGTTTAATATCATGTGACAGCTCTGTCTGAAATCAGGCAACCATTGTGGCGCTTTGAACATGTATTTTTTGGGATAAAAAAATAATGTAATGTTTATTTGATTAATAAATAATTTTGATCAAAAAACTGTCCTTGTTAATTATTTGTGTATCTTTTCAGATTTGTTTGTGCCTATTTGTCCTAGCTTTTCAGGATAATGGACGACACCACAGTGGTAGGTTGCATCACAGGAGGTGATGAGTCCGCTTACCTGGATGAGGTGCAACAGTTGTTTGTATGGTGTAGACACAATAACCTGCTCTTGAACACATCCAAGATAAAGGAGCTAATTATAGACTTCAGAAGAAACAGATGGACATTCAGTCCATTGTCATCAGAGGGACCTGTGTGGAAAGGATCAGTGACTTCTGCTTCCTGGGATTTCACTTTGCGGAGAAACTACAGTGTTTCCTCTACATTCATTTAGGAAATGAATCCTAGCCGCTGCTCCTTCCATTTATGTTTTTACTTTTGTTTTTCCGTCCACCACCACATGCCTCCACCTTCACAGCAGAGTCCTGCACTGGGTCCGGCACTCAAGAGTACTAAGGTAAATAACGGATAACTATCTTGCTCAGTATCTACTCTTTGGGGTGTTCATGCGCCGTTAATTACTGGCAAGTACAAAGCTAAATGACGGATAATTGTCTTGCTTAGCATCTACTCTTTGGGGTGTTCATGCAATGCTAATTACTGGCAAGTACTGGGGTAAACGACAGATAACTATCTTGCTCAATATCTACTCTTTGGGCGTTAATATGACGTCAATTAATCGCGACTACGAATGTTAACTACAGATAATTATCTTGCTCAATATCTACTCTTCGGGCGTTAATATGACGTCAATTAATCGCGACTGCTAAGGTAAACTACAGATAATTATCTTGTTCCTTATCCACTCTTTGGAGGTCAATATGACGTCAATTACTTGCGACTGCTAAGGTAAACTACAGATAAAATCTTGTTCAGTCTCTACTCTTTGGGAGGTTAATGCGACGCTAATTACTGGCTAGAGCTTGGCCTTGAAAGTGACGTCCCGTCCAGCACCAGGCTCCATGTCAGGCAGAGGAGGGTCGTGTTGGAGACTACGGCAGCGACTTACCGGAGAAAAGGTAGGCTTATTAGTGTAAGGTAACTCAGAATAGATTTTACAAGTTAAATAGACTTTAGCAAAACATTGACGGCCGCTATTGTTTCGTAGCACATCGGTAGCTTAAGTTAATTGGGCCCGGGGCCAACTCAGTGTGGCTAACGCTAGTAAACTAACTGATAGCATTAAGCTAACATCTACACGCCGTGATGGAACTGCTGACTGCATCTTCAGATGAGCTTGTTCACATATTTCTCTAAAAAGAGAAAGACACCTGATGGAGATGATGCTAGCCAGGTAGCATTAGCCTTTTACTGACTCATAAACCATGATGGTTCGGTAAAAAATAATAGTGATCACACTGTAATCAGATGTGAGTGTAAATGATGTAACATTAATGTTTAATGTGTAAAACCAGTATCATCAGACAGGGAGGAGCAGTGGACAGCAGCAGACATTTAATAATATATCATCAGACACAAACTAGAAACCATTTTAAATGATTAGGGTGTAGGAAACTGAGAGAGACAATGTCATTATTGTTTTTATTTGTGGGTGAAGACTGACCAGAGAATCAGGCTTCAGGGGATCAGCTGCAGTCTGGATGCTGCTGATTTCCTACAACAGAGCCTCAGAGCTCTTCTATACAAAACCCAGAAAAATGAATTGTTCTGAGCCTGGGTGCAAACTTTGCCACTGATTCTACAGCCCCATCAAGAAATTATTATTTATTGTTTTTATTTTTATTTATTTAATTAGATTTTATTTTATTGTATTAATTTACATTCAGCCTTTAAAAAGCCATTGTCAGCTGGCCATTCAATTAATAGGTTGTAAAAGTAAAATCTGAAGTCAAATGTCATTTGTTTACGCCGCCACGGCTCCTGGAGAGCCTGCTGCCCCCGCTACTGGAAAACATCCTGGAGGAAACACTGAACTGACCTGGAATAAGAACACGACACAGCTGGTAAAGAAGGCACTAAAAAGACTCCACTTACTGAGAATCCTCAGAAAGAACAACATCAGCCAGAGACTGCTTGTGTCTTTCTACCGCTCCACCATGGAGAGCATCCTCACATGGTGGTTTGCCAGCTGCACAGTGGCAAACAGGAAAGAACTCCAGACGGTCACCAGAATGGCTGAGAAGGTCATTGGGTGGCCTCTGCCCACACTGGAGGACCTTCATGGCTCTTTCTGCCTCAGGAGAGCCAACACCATCCTGAAGGACTCCTACCACTCGGGACATTTCCTGTTCGAGCTACTAATGAGCCATAAATGCCTCCTTGTTGCAAAAAGTGCAATATATTGTAAACATACAACTGCCACTACCTCTGTCCAGTATCCACTCTGTGCAATATACACTTTGTTCATGCTTGTTATTTAATTTCATCTTTATATTTATATATATTTATTGCATGTAGTTGTTTACAAAGTTTTTTTTGTTTTCCAGCTCGTCTCTGCTGCTGTTCCTTTGCAGCTCCTCCCACCTACAAGCAGCCCCGGAGCTGCTTGTAGTTCAGTTTTCTCTCAGCACGGAGTAACAGCAAGAGGTGAGCTGACGGCCGTCTGACTTTACTCTGGGAAAATGTTGTTCATTTCTTCTGTACTTTCTGCACTTTCCCCTTTGTGCTGCTGTAGTGTTGGTCTCACTCTGTTAGGATGATGAACTTAGATGTCAGTGCAGTTCAGGAGGAATATTTGGTCAAAGTTAGAACACAGGGACACACAGAGATCCTTATTTTTTCTTATTATTTTAACTCTTTTCAACACTGCTTGTATGTTTTATAACCCAGGCAGGGATTACTTAAGATACATTGATATAATTGCTGACATTTATTCATATTAAGTTCATGCATTTTTATATGAAACCTCAGAATTGGCTTCAATGAGTCGACTTTAGGATTTTCCAAAGCAACGTCCTAGTTGTCATTAAAAGAGATGTGATGCTTCAGAGACAGACGTATATCAATAATATGTGTTTTTTTGTTTTTATTTACTTCAGGGAGTGGAGAATATAGTTACTATAATACTGTACGGTCTTAATCCTTCTATATAGTTACTTCTATATGAAGAACTTTGTCATTTCTTCCTTGTGAAGCACTTTGGGCTGTATTCTTGTACAGACAATGCTACACACGTAAAGTTTTATTACAAGTAGTAATAGTTACCTTCTGCTTTAAACTACCAGGAATGTAGGTTGTAAAAGCTTCAGTTTTCTACAGGTGGTCTGACAGTAATGAAGAATGAAGTCACATCACTGCTGTCAAAATAAGGAAATAAGTCCTCTGTTCAGGAGGCTGAGAGAACAGGAGGGGCAGCATTCTTCTTCTTCTTCTTCTTCTTTTTCTGTTTTGCCACATGAATCTGCACGACCTGTTGCAGGTAAAGCCACGTTACTTCGGGCTTCTTACAGCTGACTTTTAATGCAGCCATGTGCTTCAGAATAACAGGCATTTACAATCTTTCTAAGTCGGATAAACAGTGTGAGTCAACCACACCATTTTCTGTGGAGCAGCTGATTGACATTACTTCTTCATTTGAACGTTTTAACAAATGTAAGGGGGCCAGTCAAGTTCTACAACACTCTAATGTGGGTCAACATAGACTTTATCAGAGCTTGGAGCAGTTCCACAGAAAGATTTTGTTTTCACTAAAGGGAAAGCAGCAGCTCTGTTTTCGGTGTGTCGTGTTGGCTGCAGTTCACACGCTCACAGTTAAAGATCCATATCATGCTTATGCGTTCTGTGTATTTGTTCATGTGTTTGTGGTTGTGTGACAGAAGAATGAGACAGAGGTAGTCAGGGGAAAAGTAGGAAAGAAGGAAATGTTTTTAGCGGGAATAGTCGACAGGGTGTGCTCATTACATGTCGAGGCAGAGGAGCGGTTCATCAGGCTGCTGTGGAGGCTTGAACATCAGATATCAAACAGAATATGTCCAGACAAGTTTTTATTGTCACACAGACAGAGTAAGGTGTCAGGTTTCATGGGGTGGATTTAAAAAAAAACTGAAATCTAATCTGCATTTCTTGGTTTGAATCCCGGCCTGGGATCTGTCTGTGTGGAGTCTCCATGTTCTCCCCGTGCAGCGTGGGTTCTCTCCAAGTTCGACATGAGGTTAATTGGTGATTCTAAATTGTCTGTAGGTGTGAATGTGAGTGTGCTTGGTTGTCTGTCTCTAAGTGTGATAGACTGGTGACCTGTCCAGGATTGAACCCTGGTTTCACTCTGAGTCAGCTGGGATAGACTCCAGCCCTCAGCAACCTGACAGAGGATAAAGTTGAGCACAGATAGTGAATGGATGGACACTCCTAAGCAAATCAGTTGTTTTTTGTTTTTTTTACTGTACTGTCATGTACTGCTCAGTCTGTTCAATGCTGAAACAGAGACTAAACTTTCTTCTGTAAATGTCACAACATACAATTCCCCTTTTCCTTTTGTTTTTCTTCATGTTCAAACTGGTTTAGAACACATCTACAGTAACCACATCTACAACAGGTAAAGCTCCAGAATCAATAAGTCCTTTTAACTGCTTTCTCCGTCATCTTTCCACATCATGGATCACCCACAGATGACACCAACTTGACTTAGAAGACAAGGCCACTGGGAGTCATGTCCAGTCACTAGAACGCAGTGGGAAGCATCAGCAGCAGGAGCAGCGATAGACAGCAGTCATCATGATCGACCTGAGCTTCCTGACAGAGGAGGAGCAGGAGACCATTCTGTCAGTGTTGAAAAGAGACGCTGAGCTGAAGAAGACTGAGGAGCAGCGTGTCCAGTAAGTTTCTGCTGTTTCATGTTTCAACAGCTTTTGAAGTTTGATCAGTCAAAGAAAGTCACAAAAGTCTGCCCTGAATTCCACTTAGAGGTTTCACGGTCAGAGAAAAATTAAGAAGAAAATATTTTTGGGGAAAAAGTGACGCATTCTTCAGTTTCATACACCTGAAAGCAAAGTTACAGACATTTATCACTCATGTGTCTGCACTCAGGAATCTGCAGAAGAGGGTGGGTGACAGAAGCCAGCTGAGGTACCTGACAGGAGAATGGTTCTACGAGACCAAGCAAATCCGCCACCAGGATCGTATCCATGGTTCCGACATCATCAGAGCATCTATGAAACACACACATAAATCACTAACTATACGTGAGTCTGCTACACCCTACGTTACTTCTCTTGTTTCATTTCTATTTCTGTGTTCTTACTTAGAGGACGTCGGTTCCTTGATCTGACACATTCACACACGAGCAGCTAAAAGAATGTGGACGTATGCAGCTCATATAAGCTCTGAATGTTATCTGAACAACTACATCTGAATAATACGAGCTGCATGCGATTTCAAAGCCGTTCTAATTTTCTATACGTCTTTGTAAAGTGATAAAATCCTAAAGCAGAAAATAATTTAAACACAAAAACCTCACAGCCTACATGTTGGCCTTAGATTTACAGTATATCGATCATTAGTTTTCAGTTTGTCCTATTTATCAGTGTGATAGTACTTATGTGCCTCTGAAGCTTCCAAGTTGGTCAGACCTGTAGTTACAGCTGCATTTTTTATATGCTACTGTAAACTAATCATTAGTTTACTATGATATAATGAATATAACCGGTATGTGTGACTTTCAGTAACAGCAGCTTTGTGGTTTGTTCTGCAGTGGAACTGTCACAGATATTACCAGAGAGGTCCAGTTTTGTCAGGAGTGAAAATAAAGAAGTGTTTGTCCCACCTGCACTCTGTGGACTCCTTCAGGAGCCTCACGCGCAGCTTAACAGTGAGGGGTGAGTATGGTCTTTATCACTCCGGCTTGAGTTTCCAATGACTTCTATAACTTCTGTAGTACTTTTGTCACACAAAAACAATCACAGCAGCACTTTAAACCTGTGGCTACCCAAGCTGGTCTTTCATCAAATCCTCTCCAAAACCCAGAGGAGACGGAGAAGAAAAGACCAAATGAAACAACAAAGTCATCCCCTATGTTGCAGGAGTTTCTGAGAAGCTCAGGAGGATTTTTAATAAACACAACATTCCTGTTCACTTCAAGCCCACCAACACCCTGATAAGGAAGCTGGGCCACCCTAAGGACAAGACACCAAGACATAAACAGAGCAACGTGGTGTACGCAGTCCAGTGCAGCGAGGAATGCCAAGACCTGTACATCAGCGAGTCTAAACAACTGCTCCAAAAACGCATGGCTCAGCACAGAAGAGCAGCTCCTCAGGACAGGACTCAGCAGTCCACCTGCATCTCAAGGACAAAGGACACTCATTCAAAGACAATAATGTACAGATGTTGGCCTGCAGGGAGGACAGATGGTTTGAGAGAGGAGTGAAAGAAGACATCTATGTCAAACTGGAAAGACCATCCCTCAACAGAGGTGGAGGTCTGAGGCATCACCTCTCACCTGTTTACAATTCAGTCCTAAAATCTCTCCCCAGGAAGATCAAACCACATCCACACCTAGCCACAAATGACCCTAATGAACCCCATTGTGGCAGGGGGAGCACTAATGACTCACAGAACAAGGGGGAGGAGCAACAAACCCCCAACTGAAACCAAAACTCAGGTGTTAATGGATCCTTAAGGAGATAAGTATCTGGAACTCCCAACTAGTCAGTCAGAACTGATGGAGCCTCTTGGATGAGAGGTGGAATGTCTTCAAGGAACTCAAGTCCAGTTGTTACGATTAATCTACCAGAATAACCATGACCTGGAGGACTGAGAATCTTCACTGACAGGCAATAGCTTATGTTTTCTTCTCAGTGCAGTGGTATAACTGTACCATGAGCTTTATAACAGTTCAAACTATTGTTTACACAGTTAATGTCTCGATAGTTTGTGGCTGAGTCTAATGTGTGTATCAAATAGGTCCTTCTTCAATGGGCTCACAGGAGTCAGCAGCTGTCGTCAATCATATCACTCTCTAGAAGTTAGGAGGCCATGCATCTTAGAAAATTCTGAGTTATAGGAGCCACTGAAAACATAAGAATACCATGACATACATATGTATTCAAGGATACTTCAATAATGGCCGCACCTTCCCATTTTGGGGCAGAACTATATCCTGAGCTCACTGTCTACAAAAACGAAAAAAATGTAAGCAATCAAAGAAAAATGTAGAGGAAAGCTTCAAGCTGATGAGTTGCCGGTCCAGGACAATGCGTCGTCCACACGGCACAGGTGGCAGCAGCAGATTGGTAGGAGAGCCATGTCCACACTGACTAGGAAGTAGCTGTTACCACGATGTTCCAACATAAAGAGGAGCAAAGGACTGCCACAGATTAAACTAGTGAGGCTCCAATAGAGTGGGAACACCACTGTCACCTGCATCCACCGAGCAGAGGAGAAAGACTGCTGACAGACTAATCAATGTCAACTCTTAGATAAGACTGCACCGGCTCACTGACAAAGTCCCATCAGAAGACATGCTTGCAGATGTGAAAGCAGCTCTACTAACTGTCCCTCCTACCATGACCACAGGAACAAATGCACTCGTATATACCACAGCAACTGTAATCCTGAGGATACATTAGGATAAGACCAAGAACAAAGCATGCAGAGAGTGCCCTGCATGGAGGGGAAGGTTGGAAGAGCTGGACAGCATCAGGACCTGATCCACTCCTACTGGGGAAGTTAATAGTGCTCCATGGTGGTAGCTGGAATGGCTGACATTGGGCAGAACAATCCTGATTATAAAAGATCCCCACCAGGGTGCAACATCTTCAAACTAATAACCTGCCTCTCAAAAACACAGAAGCTCTTTGAGGACATCATAGCAGCTATGCTGAGTAAATGCTCAGAGGGATATGGAAAACAACGCAAGAGGGTGGACGCACTGGTTGGCAGAGCAATCCCTCAAGACTCTTAGAGTAGGCAGACTTACATGAACACTACCAGGATTAACTATGCGAAAGCCTATGACTCAATTGCCCACACATGGATGCTGAAGTGCCTGGCACTATTCAAGACTACCAGGACACTGATATCCTTCATCTGGAACTCATTGCAGCTGCAGAAAACAACGCTGCACCTACAAACAGTAACTCCACATTGTATAAACAAAATGATCCGTGTTGTTTCTTGAGCACCATCACATGCTGCGCTACTAGAGCAGATTATTCAGAGTGTAATTTCCAGTGCATGGTCTTGTGCACACAGTTACGAGGTAATTGGCTCTGTAGTTCTCAGTAAGCTCCTTACAAGGTCAGCTTTCACATGTTCATGTTTTTGCTACTTCTAGGGAGTAATGACACATATCAATATCGTACGAGCTTTGCACTGCCTTCAGCTGCGTGGACTGGTCGACTTTTACATAAAGGCCTATATATATATATAGCTGTAATTATGTGTCTCGAGACACATTAGATAGAAGGTTAAGTTGCAGCTTCCACAATCATTTTCCATAAACAAAAGAACAGACTGATGGCTACCAAAACATGTCTGTCACATGGAAGGCTGCACTGCCCTCCATGGGGACTTTCAAAATCCAGTTTAGAAGTTGCACAGAGATGTTCAGGACATCATGTTGTTTTTGTTTTTTCTAACAGGGATCATAATCTGAATGATTATCAATCACTGCAAGATTCTGCAAAACCAGTTTTACAGTCGCCCACTAAGGTAGGATCCTGTTAAAAAGTTGGGTGTAAGTCCATGTTGCGGTGTGCTGTAGGTGTTTCGTGTATCAATGTTTTTCTTCTGTTGCAGAGAAAAAATCCATTTAACAGTGAGCTGACTTTTAACGAAGAGGATGATCGGTTCCTGGATGGAGCAGTAAATCAAGGCCAGACACCAAATGAGAGTGAGTTATGATACAAACATCACTTTGTGCTACTTTAAATATGTATTTGTATCATGAGTATTTCTATATCTACTGTGATCTAATAATGTATCGTTTGTTATGTTTTGAATTGTGGACCGGTGAATAGACAAGTTGTGAAAGCAGTTACAGTTCAAAGCAACGTAAGTCTGGTTCCAGAAATCTGTTGCACGCTTCACTTGTTTCAGCCTTTAATGTTAAACAGAAAGTTGGCATGAGCAGCGGCTGCATGGCAGGTGAAAGCTTGCACTGGCTTGACATTTCTATCAGTTTTATCATCTGATTGTGTTCCATCCTGTTTTGTTGCAATTTCAAAGAAGGCTTTTGGGAAATGGACACTTTCATGCAGGGCCTGGTGGGTAACATACAGGATTATAAATGTTCAGTAACTTAAGAACCACAGGTATTTGTGACATGAATAACCACTCTTATGATTTAATGAAAGTTCTGCATTACTGACAGTGTTTTTTTTTATTTTTATTTTGTTACATTATTTTTACAATGGCTGTGAAATGAGCCAGTGAGTGGGGTCAAACTGATTTTCTCAGGGGTTGTCAAAGGAAAGGGGGGTCTAAATGCCTGAGGCTGCCAGACTAGCCAGAGGATTACACAGAGGAACATTCCAAAGCCATAATCTCTACTGCATGACTTGTAGCTGCTGGAAATATTTCACAGGAGCTGTGATGTTTTTATAGTAGAAACTATACAATAAGAAGGAGACAACACCGGAAAAAAAGACAGTTTAGAAGAGGCAGAATTGGTTAGTTAGCTCCTAAATACCGATCAGCAAAATATACTTTCAGTAAAAGTACTCTTTCTGCAGTAAGTGTCCTGTGTGACTGATGCACTGTTTAATCCGACATGTAAGTAAGTTGGTAATACTGATGCATCAACATCTAGAGCAGGGGTCTCGAACGCCGGTCCTCGAGGGCCGCAATCCTGCAAGTTTTAGATGTTTCCCCTCTTCCAACACACCTGATTCAAATGATCAGCTCATCATCAAGCTCTGCAGAAGTCTGATAACGATCCTGATCATTTGAATCAGGTGTGTTGGAAGAAGGAAACATCTAAAATTTGCAGGATTGCGGCCCTCGAGGACCGGAGTTCGAGACCCCTGATCTAGAGTTACCGTCACACTACTGGCAGCTGCACTTTTTATGCTTCTAACGTTAAACACGATAATAATGATAGCTCAGTCACCCGGAATGCATCGGTTCCAATGCTGAAGAACAAAGCAGTCAGCACCACTTTTCAGGACTGTTTTGTTGTTTAAGGTGCGTCAGCAGATAGACAGACTAACTCTTCTGCTCCTCTGGGTATCCTTGCATGCTTCCAGCTCCACAGACTCTCTGTTCACTTGCCTGAACACACAGAGTCCAATTAACCTGGATTTTCCCAGTGAGACCTGGACAGACAGGAAGCAGGTTAGGTTCAGGTCCGTGGTTGGTCATACTGATGTGAAAAGGAAAGATTGGATTTAACTGGGATCGCACAATTTGCTGCTTGATGCTGACCCCTCTGTTCCCTCTGAGGCACAGGTGACTAATTATACTGTGTAACATTTAGTTGGAAAAATGTGCATGAGTGATCTGATGACTGTTTGCTGTCCTTGCAGATGTCTCTGAGCATTATCATTTGGAGCTACTGAGCCCTGCGGTGTCTAGCTTTGTTTCTGCTGAGCGGGAGTCAGGTAAGCCTGTTCACACAGAGACAGGGTCTGAAGAGGACTGTCACTCTCAGCTTGAGGCCACAGACTGGTCAGCCGGACGCAGCGTTTGTTCTGTTGATGCCACCTCAGATACTAAGCCCTCTCCTAATGGCAGCTCAAAGAGTTCCTCTCTTGCCTTTTCACCAAAACTTAAACAAGGACTGATTCGGATGTTTACAAGAGAGCAGGATAAAACCGCCCAAGAGCTGCAACAGAAAGAAGAGCTGAATATATCTAAACAGAAAGAGCCAAGTAACACACAACATCTCTCCGAAATGGTAGCAGATGTGCCCGTGGACAAACCTGCAAGTGTCAAACAAGAACCTAAACTCCCTGAAATGGTGGAGGTCAGAACACTGCAGCTTACAGCACTGCAGAACACTCCATTTAAAGAAACAGTGACGTCAGTCGATGCAAACACTCAGCAGGAAGCAACAAAAGGCAGAGATAATCAAATTTCAGTAAGACTATCCAATCTGAAAACATTCTGGGAGAGAGAAAACAGTGGCCCAAAAGTCATCTTTACTAGAGAAGGGCCAAGACAGGACAGCGTCGCCAAGACAGGAGTAGAAGCTTTACATTGCCCTCAGACGAACTCCAATAAGAAGAACATAGACAAAAATCTGTCACCTCAGATAGAAATGACAGAGGAGGATGCTACAGGCTGGTCCCAAGACAAGAGGTTGTCACCACAGACTGTCTGCAGTGTAGATTTATCAAGAGACGATGGCACATATAGAGCTAATCCAGTCTTCATCTATGAGGAGACAGATGACTCTGTAACAGGTTCTTTAACAGAATCTCAGGTTTCTGAGCAAGAAGAAAACGTCAGCTCCTCTGTATTGCCTATTGTAGCGCTTAACACCCCAAAGCTAGGGCAGGATATCCCAGTTCCCCTTCCAAGGCAGTCCAGTTCAACTCATCAAGAAGGTCGAATAACCGAGATCAGTGAGCCTGAATATTTTGGGGAGAAGGAACATACTAGACCCAAGAAAATCAGCGAAGTCAAGGAAGCCTCAAGCAGTTCAGTCATTTTTCACAAGCCAGTTTCCTCTCAGTCTGATCTCAGAACATCTGTAGACAATGAAGAAAAGTCTGGGATAGGCGCAGAAACATTCTCATACAAAACCAAGTCTAATGTCTTGAAATCGTTAAAAGTGACAGAAAAGGGTTTTGTCAGTCACAGTCCAGACAGATCACAGCTGAGAAGCACTGACAGTGTTGCAGATGTACAATCACCAGGTCACAGATATCAAGTCATGGTTGATACAGAGTCTCAAGAAAGGCCCTGTAGTCCCAGTAAATTCCAAACTCCAAGATCAAAAGACGAGGATGAAACAGTCAGGAGGAGTCCATCGAAGACATGCCACCCAAAGGTCCTACCTCGAGAATCCTCCAGCGCTAAGGGATCCAGGCTGGAAGACTCTCCCCTGAAAACCTTTTCAATAGACATCAACCCCCAAACGAAAGCCACTGAGGAGCAACAAGGGAAGCCAACACCAGTGCCAAGACAGAGGAGGAGTCCCTCACATGCAGCAAAGCAGACAGTGTCCACAGACCTTAGTGCAGACATCACTTCCCCTCCTTTACATCAAAGTAGTTCAAACTCCTCAACTTCACCGCACTCCAGAAAAGCTTCAGAGAAGAATTTGGGTACCTTTACACGCCTCGCCAGATCTTTCATCCCTCAGGACCATCAGCACTATCTTGGACCAAATGAGAAGACACACATTCCTCATTTTCATCAAGACAGTGATGCTGTACTCAGACCTAAAAGTGCAGACAGAGAATTAGTGAGAAGTGACAGTCCCACTGAAGGAAGTCCTCATGGAATCAGTTCTTGGTCTGTCCAAATCAAAGATGGAAACTCCAGCCCAGATGCAGCAGCCAGGGCCTGGTCTCTGTCTCAACCAACTTCAGGCAGTAAGCTTTTGAATTCTGTCTTCACTGATACGGCTTCAAGATCATGAGTAAGACATGCGAATCACAGTGATGCTTGTTTTTGTTTTTTTTCCAAACAAAACACAGCGAGTTAGGACATTAACACTCCATAGAGTCCCTTTACATGTTGAGTGATCTGCTGTGCTAATTAACCTTAATATTGTGTTTTCTCTTTGAGTGCATCTATACAAAACTAAGGTACAGCGATTTAGATTTTAGCTACCTTTTAAGCTTTAAATGCAGATTTTTAGTCTGTCGTTTATATAATAAGAGATCTAAATCAGTAAAAAGAGCTTCTATTGATCACTACTATAAAGATTCAAATTACCAATAAAATTTCTATTAATTCATCCCCATATAATATAAACACAGTCTGGTTTTGTTCCCAGTTTTTACTGTGATCATGGGATGTTTTCATTTACTCAAAAAACAAATCAGTAACATTCTTTGTGTTTTTATTTGCTGAGTAATTCATGAACTCTGTGCTGAGTTTGTTTTCCAGAATTGACTTTGTGTCATCCTTGACAGGCCACAGTGAGAGTACCAGTCCCATCGTGTCAGCTCTGAAACGATTATCTTCAAGAAGCATGACATCATCCAGAAGTCTGGAAAAGCTCACCTCAGAAACAAGTACCAGAAGTCCTAATGTGTTGATTTCTAATGTGTCATTCTTTTCTGTGATATTTAACTTTATATAGGAACCGTTAGTAGTAGAATACTGTGTCATGGTTCAATTTCTTTGCAGAAGAAGAAAGAACCCAAAGTAACCCAAGAGAACAAATGAATCTAAGTGTGGATGATGGTAAACATGTGACCTTATCTTAACACACACATTTACCAGATAAACAGGAAGACTGAGCAGTGATGCAAACGTGCAATAGTTCATGTACTTCATAGTCATATCTTTTTTTCCAGTTTCTTCACTTTCACCATCAGACTCTTCTCTGTCCAACCCAAAGACAAAAACCAGCGTGTCAGTGCCTGTCCTTCAGCAGGATGAGGTAAATCACTTCAATCTTTGTCTCTGAACTCACAACAGAAGGATGATACTGAGTGTTTGATATCTACACTGCAGCTACACTTACCAACAGAGGAAAGTCTGAAGTAGAAGCACGTACAAAATGCAGATGTTTGTGTTTGGATTTTAACTGTCATTAATTGATTTATGCTCTGTGATTATAATACTAGACAGACAGTGACAGCACTTTGGACACCAACCTGGGATTTAAAAGAAAAGCCAGCAGCTCCATGTCGAACATAAGTGTCTCCTCGGGAATGGCCTCCTTATCGTCTGTATGTACACACACAGCTGCTCGATAACTTCATGTTGTGATAAATCCAAAGGTTGACTGTTTACCACAAGATTATTTTTGTAATTAGTCTAAACTTTATCCTTGACTATTGCTAAAACATTATAAGATTACCTCATTTGTAAAACGTTATTATGCATAAGGATCACAAATAGAAAGTTTGGTTTTAATAAAAGCTTGGTAGTTTTCTAAAACAGCTGCCTGGAAGGTAACATTTGACAAAGACACATAAAACTGGCTCATGCAGTAGAATGAGTTTTCCCCTACAGCTGACTGCAATCACTTTCACTTTAGACTGATCCTAAGTTAAAACCAGAAAGGACTTTATTTTGTCTCTCCTGTCATGTTACAAATAAGCAGGTCAGTGGCAGCCTCAGCAGCATTTACCCTTCTGACTTCGGTGACATTGAAGTCCAGGGAAGCATCCAGTTTGCTGTGAACTACATTCAGAACCTTGGAGAGTTTCACATCTTTGTGGTGCTCTGCAGGGATCTGGCAGTGGCTGACACCAAGAAGAACTGCTCTGACTCGTAAGTGCTCGCTATAATCGACATAATCAGGTGATATTTCTGATATAACGTTTGGAAAAGGGAGCCTGTAGGTCAAAAAAGATGGTGAACCGTGTTACATTTATAACACAGCTGTCTTTTGCTGTCATTTGAACATTTTGTTATCATCTTTTCTATACTTTCTAGTTGAGGATTTAAACGTAACTCTGATGTGATTTTATAGGTATGTGAAATGTTATCTTCTTCCTGACAAAACAAAGTTGGGAAAGAGAAAAACCACTGTTAAAAAGAAGATGTTAAATCCAACCTTCAATGAAATCCTCAGGGTGAGAATTCTATATTTAGTCTCTTACACATTTATCTTTACATCTATTTGTTCTATATTTTAACATTAGTATCCTGGTTGCCAGTGATGGAATGTAAATACAGTCGTGACACGATAATCAGACCCTTAACAATCCAAAACCTTGCTATCCGACAGGTTTTTGGGAAAACGAATGGAACCCATTAAAAACAGCCTTAATATACCGACAGCCTTGGATTCCGACTCCGACATGACATTTTATGTCACTAATAAGGATAACAGCCTATTATCTGACTGAACAATCCCACAGATTGGCTACGTTCAGACTGCAGGACTTAATGCTCGATTTGGATTTTTTTTTGTGAAATCCAAATTTTTTTGAGAGTTCGTTCACATTTCCAATTAAATGTGACTTGTATGTGATCTGCTGTGGGAACTTCATACGACGCATAAGTGTCCCGCATGCGCAGAAGAGGACACGACGACGTCACACACAGCGAGCGCGCTCAGTGTTTACGAAAGTAACACGGATGCTAACGGTGGAGCGTATCTGTCACTCCCCCACTGCCACTGATGGTGGAAACAGAAGTGTGACCGCTAACTAAACTGGCATCAGCAGCCAAATACTGCCTGTGCATTCCGGCCACTTCCACCCCGTTGGAGCGCTCCCCCGGGGTGGAAAGTTTTACATTTAGTGTTGGATTATCGAGTCACGACTGTACAATTTTCTCAAGCACTGTACTTACCGTAAATTCTGGACTATTGAATACACCTGAATATAAGCCACACCCACTAACTTTAAAAAGAAAGCAAGTTTTGTCCATATATAGGCTGCACTTGAAACCTCAGCTGACCACGTTGTAACATGAGATATTGACACAGAAAGATATAACTTTAGCTGTATAAGCGTGTCATTTTTGGGAGACAGGCTTCTACTCTCACATTGAGATGTTGTATTTTTACTGATGATTTTGGTCATTTTTTTTTCACTTAAAAATATTCAAGCTTTAGAAACAGGATTTTTTAAAAGTTTACTTTTAATTCTGATTAATTTGTGTTTAATCATTTTATTTAAAACAAGCATTGTGAAGTAATCACTTGTAGATAACTGTCTTAGGAAATTCACACTACTTTCTGAACTTTCAATGAATGAACTAAGAAGGGCACTGAGTACGTACGTCATCTACTAACAGTCTTTTGGTGTCGGTGAGGTTTTAAATGCAGGATTAGAAATTAGTACTTTTAGTTAAGTTAAGGCTTTGAATCTCGTCTACTACCAGTGACAGTCGTATTCTTTTCTTTTCATAGTTTAAAATCCTAATGGAGGTGTTGAAAACTCAGAATCTGAACGTCTCCATTTGGCACAACAACACTTTTGGGCGAAACAGCTTCTTGGGTGAGGTGGACCTGGATCTGTCAGAGTGGGACTTCAGAAACACACAGATTAATGAATATGCATTAAAAGCCCGGGTAAAGACTTCATCACTTTAAGTGTTCCATGTGTGTTGTAGCTCTGACTAGAGATTTACTCACCTCAGCCTAATCCTTCAGGTCTCTACACAGACATCAACACTCTCTGCCTCACATTTGATGAACAGCAGAGGTCAGATGAGAGTCGCCCTGAGGTTCCTGCCGCAGACATCCCACAGTGAGCTGATGACTCCTCCTGTATTTTTATTAGTTTGTTTCCTTTAGTTTGATCATCAGAATCATTTATCATGGTCTGATGGCATCTACAGGAAAGACAGAATCTAGGATGGAGACTGGTGAGGTGCAGATTTGGGTGAAAGACTGCAAGAATCTTCCGTCGGTCAGAGGAGTCACAATCGACCCATTTGTGAAGTGGTAGGACACACGCAAACTTTATTCACTATTAAATTTATTAAAAAAGAAGATGACAAAATGAATTATTAGAAAATACTGATAAAATACATATTTACCAAAGACATAATCTAATAATTTTGTAAAAATGAAACCGCCTTTTATTTTTCAGAATAATACAATTTATTTCTTGTCATTTCAATTCAATCCAGGTTTATTTTTCAAATTCCTGCCAATCTAGAAAAACGGTGTAGAGCCAGTTATGTGATATCAATTCAATTCAATTCAATACTTTTTCAATACTTTAAATTATCATTACAAAATAGAAACAGACTTTAGAAAAGTGACATCTGCAAATTACGAATTTTATTTCAAGGATGATGCAGTTTTCATTAGTCAGTTAACCAACTGGTCAAAATCAGCAACTATTTTGATTATTGATGAGCCATATGTACATATTTTTGCAAGAAAAAAACACCAACATTTTATGGTTCCTAAATGTGAACGTGTTGCTTGTCCTTGTCTTCAATTAAATTGAAAGTATTTGGGTTACAGACCAAATTATCAATTGATTATTTAAAAAAAAAAAAAAAAGCTAAGGATTAAAAGAATATGAAAACAATCATTAGACCCACCTCCGTGAACTGTTCTGTATGCGGTATATTCTAGCATTATTGTGATTGCTTATTTAATAATGTCCTAGTCATTTATTTAGTTTTAAGAACTTTGTGTTTCTAATCAGTATTTTTCATCAGATTTCTCCAAAAGAATAAATGGCCTTTACCTATTAAGATACCTTCTTTCTGGTGCAGCACTGTGCTTCCTGACACGAGCCGGAAAAGCCGTCAGAAAACACGGGTGGTGAAGAGGACGGCCAACCCCATGTTCAACCACACCATGGTGTACGATGGCTTTCGAACGGAGGACCTCAGAGAGGCCTGTGTGGAACTCACAGTGTGGGATTATGACCGACTGCACAACCACTACATTGGCGGTCTGAGACTCGGGCTGGGGACAGGTGAGTCCCCTCCACTGATACTCTTTAGCCTAACTTCAACTGGAGGCAGTGAACTTAAAAAACTAAGACAGAAGTATTTTCCGACATGGGGGTGACAAAGGAGGGAGGGAGCCTGTGAGCCTCTGAGATCTAGACTTGTGACTCTAATGTGTGATCTGAGGTAGGATATGCTAAATGTGTATCCACTAGTGATGGTATGAATTAGCCATTCACATTCCCATCATGGGGACGATTAGTAAATTCAGGTTATTCCCTTTTTTCGTCTGTATAAGACACACAGACATCATCTTAATAAGTGGTGTAAATGAGGTATTTGATTCCTCTTCACAAATATGCATCAAAAACAGACACATGCAGCATATTAATTGAATACCTCCTGTCCTTTCTGTGCAGGGAAGAGTTATGGAGTGAAAGTGGTTTGGATGGATTCAACGCCAGATGAAGCAAACTTATGGCAAAGGATGTTACAGTCTGATGGTGAATGGGTGGAGGATGAGTTACCTCTGAGGAAGTTGGTGATGGCGAAGATCACGTCAAAGTGATGTTTTACAGAATATGTTGATAAATGTGTGAAAACTACAGGAGGACAGTGTCTTTTGGATGGATTGATGTACTGTATATACACTGAGTGGAAGCAGTAATGAACGGCACTATGTGTATATCTGATGATGATTGGATAATAAATGAATACTCTAGTTTGTATAACCCAAACCATGTGTTCAGTTTGTCATCTCAAAGATGTTAAGTATTTATAAAGATCATACAAAATAGTGCAAATCAAAAATTTAAAACATGCAATTTTGATCTGTAAAGACACTTGATGTAAGGGCTGATTTGTAAATTGTTTGACATGATTCCTGTAAAATCTTTAATAAACTGGAAATGGTTGTGACCTGTAATTTGTGGGTTAAGTAATGGTTTCATTCATTTTTAGAAAAGCCAACAGTTAGTATAGAAACAGTGTAGTTGAGTTCTTGGTAGCACAGCTGTCTTAGAACAACCTTGTCTCCACAAAAATTACATTCTCAGACAACTAAACTGCATTCTCAATTACGTTGTATGAGAAACGTAATTCATCCAACATTGTGTCGATCTGTAACCTATTAGAAAAACGTTTCCAATCAATGAATTCTTGCCGTTCATTTTCCGTTCAAACGGTCACCTTTACCAGTCTGTAACCTGTCCAACAAGACATGGTAAGGTACTGGACTTGTGCTATGGCATTATAAAGGGGCATATAAATCATATGCAATTGCGCCACTTGACTCTTCTGACCATAATCATGTCTTTCTAGGACCAGTCTATCAATCGGCCCTCAGGAGAGGAAAAGTCGAAGGCAAAGAGACTGACGTGTGGACAGAGGGTGCAGTTCACAGGCTGAATGGAAGTTTGAGAAGTGCTAACTGGCAAGTTTTCAAAGACACTTTCACTGTTTTGGATGAGCGGACGAACACGGTATCTGGATAATTTCCTTTTGTGAACAAATGATCATCCCCAGGAAGATGGTTACGATATACCCAAATAATAAACCTGGGGTCACTAAATCCCTTAAGAATATTCTAAATCAGAAAAAGCTAGCTTGGGAATTGAGAGGCAAGGCGTCTTAATTTAAACTATAATGCAAAATGAGATATGGATGAACCTTGTGCTTAGTCATGTAACATAATCCCTACGTTTATATATGGACTACTGTAACATGCTCCTTATCATTACCACCTATAAGACCCTAACGCACGATAAAACTGCCACTGGGCATTGTCTTGGTTGTTGTCATGATGTTTGTATTGTTGAATCCAAGTTAAAAATCTAATGAAACAAAGTCCACAAGATGTTTGGGGTGAGACCAGCTGCTGTGAGAAGGACTATAGCTGCATAAAGGCTGTGGTGGAAGATCATCTCTCTTCTGTGTCACATTGAAACCAGGACACATGCAACATTACAAATACTGAATGTGTACACCAGCATTATTAATATGAACACGTCATTTCAAATTCTAGTCAAGAGGGACACAACCCACGCTGCACAGGGAGAACATGCAAACTCCACGCAGAAAGATCTCAGGTGTCCTCACCGGGACGCGAACTGGCGACCTTCTAGCTGCGAGGCAACAATGCTAACCACTGCTCCACCTTACAGCCCATGTTTGTTATTTATTTGCAAAATAACTGAATATATTCACAAACATTTATAGATATTTTTTGTATATTTGCTGATCATTTTTGTTGCAAGCCTACTTTTCTTTTTTTTTTAAATTTGTGGAAAGTAGTTCATATTTACAGATCACACATCTGCACACAGATCATCATTCTGTTCACAAAAAATACCACTGAGACAAATCTAACACCATATAATGAAGAAACACCCTGAGTGGAGTGAACCTGCTTCGTAGGACAGGCCCCTCGTGACTGCAAAGCCCATATCATGTGATAAAGGTTGTTTTCATACTCATCAGACCATTCAGTGACCCTTTGTGCAGATTGTCCTCCAAGAAGAGAGCATTCCTGTCAGGATAGAAATATTTCATCAAACTATAGAGGTGATCGCGGTGCCACTATAGCTGTTCAGCTGTCCCATGTACAGGGGCTATAGTCCTGGATGTGGAGGTCATGAGCTCGAATCCTGCTCATGGGGCTGCAAGGTGGAGCGGTGGCTAGCACCATTGCCTCGCAGCAAGAAGGTCGCTAGTTTGCATCCCGGTGAGGACGCCCAGGATCTTTCTGCGTGGAGTTTGCATGTTCTCCCCGTGCAGAGTGGGTTCTCTCCGGGTTCTCCACCTTCCTCCCACAAGGTCCAAAAACATGTTGAGGTTAATTGGTGATTCTAAAGTGTCCGTAGGTGTGAATGTGAGTGTGCTTGGTTGTCTGTCTCTAAGTGTAGCCCTGTGACAGGGTCCAGGGTGCCCCCTGTCTTCACCCTGAGTCAGCTGGGATAGACTCCAGCCCCCCCGCAACCCTAGTGAGGATTAAGCAGTGTATAGATAATGGATGGATGTTCCCTCTAATGGGATAAGTGTTGACCCAAACCATATCATAAAAAAGTCCCCACAGCACAACAGAGCCACTGGATCATCTCAGTGCAGTTCTTCCTCAAGATTCTTCCTTTTATTTGTCAAGCATGTATACTTTCACTTCCATGGCAGCTCTGTTAATTGTAGGTGTACTGTCTTTTTTGACCACCAGAGTGAGCTGTTTGGACACATTACAACAATTCTTGACAGAAATATTCCCAAGCCCAAAAGCAACTGTTTGTGCTACCATTTAAAACCATACAGTGTTGAAGTGACTTGAAAAAAAAATCTCTTTGCATTCTACAGGTCTGTAAAGTCATCAATATATAAACAATTAATATGAATATGTAAGATACATTTATATAGATATATTTATGCATACTTGAGATTTTAACCTCTACAACAACAGCAACAGCAACAAAAAGCAATAATACTAATAATAAAAATACCCGCTCGTAGAAGTTATATTATTCCAGACATTTCATATTTCCTGCAGTACATTTAATGCAGCAATATTTCAACTTTCACCCTCGCACAGGTCTGAAGCGCTCTCATTGGTCATCCGTCTTGATGCGACAAGAAATTGCAACGTGCGATTGGTTGTCGCATTCTGTCAATCAAGAAGGATGCCAGCCAATCAGCGAGCAGATTCTGCGTTGCTAAGGGAAGTTAAACAGCTGCGTCAAGGTAGTTGTATTTAGCCCAGAAGTCAGGCGACATTGCACTCAAAATAAAAGTATGATGCTTGTCACTGGGAAAATGAAAAGATTTAAGTTAAGTATGCTTAAATGAGCCAACAGCATATTATTTAGTGCCACAGTATCAGCCACTCAAGGATTACTCTGGCTGTTGATTTAGTCCCTAAAAACTTCTTCCCACTCAGCTTGAGCCATCAGCTCAGCTATGACTGCTCAAACTCTGTAAAACTTCTCCGCGTCACACAATGGCGAGTTGCAATATTGAAGTAATTCAGTCGTACACGTTCGAGTTGGAAACAGATTCTA